CACCCACACCCTTTATTACTTGAATATATTGATTTAACTCGAAGCTAAATAGTTGATACCATTTCGGGAGTGCCAATAACTAGAAGATGTACTAGAAAATCGAAAGAATGTTTTCTTGTGTTACAAAATTAATTGTGTTTTTCTATTTCTACCTGTTTGCTGGAATGATTGACGAGAGCTACCGCATCTCGACGACGTATAATTCAGATGGCTACTTTAAGACGTAAAATTGAAAAATGTTTTCTTCATAAGAAAGTTAGACCTGGTCGTCCACTTCTACAGTTTATTTTTGAATTAGATGCTCTTCTCCAGATATTGCATAATGTTCCAATAAGAGACACATTATAAATAAAGATAAATGATCTGACACTAATATTATTGAATTAATAAATAGTGAAGCAAGTCAATCTCAAATCGTTAATGTGGTAAGTGTGAAGAAAAAGAAAAATTATTGAAGATTGGTAAAGAGATTGAAACATAAATTTAAATTGGCTAATGTTATATTACAGAAATCTGATAAATCCAAAATATTCCATTTGGATAAAGTTGAAGATTATCATAACAAATCCAATGAATATATGGAGAAAACTCAAGCATATGAATGTCTTGGAAATGAAGATTCATTATCTGATTTGATTAATAGAACAAATAAACATTTATTGGATCTTCGATTGGCTAAATAGATTACTCGAAAATAGTATGAGTTATTAAGTATTAAATCATATGAAGTTCAGCTGGCTCATTTATGTTATTTACCAAAAGCCCATAAGCCGGGTACTCCTCTACGTCCACTTATAAGTGGACTTAAGCATCCTACAATTAAAATATCAAAATTTCTTGATGAATTATTGAGACCATTATTTGACAAAATGGCCCAAGAAACAACAGTTTCTTCTGGTTTTGAATTGCTCAAAAAATTAGATATATTATGGATATTCCAAAAATTTTACACTAAAATCCCTACAAATACTTTTTCATTAAACAAATTCTAAAATTTTGTATGAATTATCACATATTATATATCAATAGAATCAGCAACTCATGCTGATGAAAACGCAGTGCAATAGAAATACTTTCAGAGAAAATTTTAAAATATTATGGATATTTCAAAATCCTGCATTAAAATACTTACAAATACTTTTTCATAAACAAAATTCTAAAATTCCTCATGAATTATCACATATTATATATCAATAGAACCAGCAACTCACGCTGATGAAAACGCAGTGCAATAGAAATACTTTCAGAGAAAATTTTAAAATATTATTGAATTTTTGAATAAATAGTACAAAGAGATCTGTACGAGTACTTATTTGTGAAAAAACTTCTAGAATGCCGGATAAATTATGACATATTGTATATCTATTGAAGCAGCAACTCACGCTGATGAAAACTCGGTGTAATACGTGTGATTCATACCAAAAAAAATTGACATGTGATGTTTTTTTTTTTTGTTTTTTTAGTAAACTTGGAACAATGGGATTGTCATAAAAAGTTTTCGAGTGAACAATGTGGAAGGAGTGGTTAAGGTTTTAGATTAGATGTGTATTGTTTGGTTTTTTTCTACGAGTCGGCCGGGTGAAATTTATTTGAGTTTGATTTAATTTCGAATGAGTACTTTTTTTTTGGTTCTGATTAAAGAAGTTGTTTCTTTTTGCGTGCGTATATGACCTTGGATGTTTGTGATGCCTTGAAAACAGTCTAGGCTTATGACGTTGGATACATTCCTTGAGTCATGAGCGGATGCAGATTAAGAATTGCGCATTTGGTCTGATATTGTTAGTATGCTTTGTGAGGCGTTGATTCCAGGGATAAAATTGTTTCAAATGTGGAATGTTTGGCTCTGGCTCGAAGTGTTTTTTTTTTGTCTTATCTTGTGTATTGAATATTGCATATATTGCGCTGTTTTTTCGGTGCACAATTGCATTTTGTTCGTACTATACCGTCGTATTCTTTTTAGGCATTTACTTATTATGAATAATTCGAAAAATTTGACATTGAAACAAAGTTCAGCGATTATACCAATGTCCGATTTTATTACACTCGTGGATAATTTAGATTCATCGTCGACTACTAATTCAGCAGCGACCATTAAAAAAAAAGCACAATCAAATTGGACACCAGCAATGAAAAAGATTATAACAACAAATGCTTTGAAGAAGAAGCAATTCGAAAAACAGGTTGAGAAACCGTATATCTCGGCAGACAAAAATGTACAAAATACAACAAAATTCGAAGAGGAACAAACAACAACCATCACAGGAACATCACCATTCTGCGCATCGACCATCACTATCGAACATCTAATTGTATCATCAAAAGAAATCATTACAACAGCATCGAAAATGAATTATTTCGAGCCGATATCACCAGTACCATCAACCGATAGTAGTATTAGTATATTATCGATACATTATCCGATTTTGGCACTACCTAAAATAAAGCACAAAAGTAACGTTAATTCTAACAGTACCAACAAAGAGATCGATGCTAAGGAGAAGATAGGTATTCTCAATGAGAAACGAGTCAGAGAGGATACACAATTACCGAATAAAAAATTACGTTTATTATACGACCAAAATCTGCTTGACGATGAGTCATATAACAAATTAGTGTATCAAATGATCAACAATCATCCAAGCAGCTCAAATCAACAAGGACTTGAACGAACCCGACGATTACATTTAGCAAGTTATTTTTTGAACTGGCATATAACACATGCATTCGAATCAGCTAATAAAGAATTTCAACAACTTTTTTCTAAATAAAAACTATTTTAGCGCTTGTATTTCATCAACATAGCACTGATGAGTCACTATCATCGACAAATACTGGATATAATGCATAAACCAATAACATCATTATAAGCAGCGACACACTAGGGTGCTTTATATTTTTTTATGAGAAATGTTTCTTATGCTTATAACTAATTACTAGAGCATCATAGCGCGATGAATTCAACGAAAACATTGCTTTACATGCTCCAATTAGTATCGACTAGCTAATTGAACTGTAACGATTGCTACCCATAACCAGATTACTTAATTTTCGAACAAATATTTTATGTGCCTATAACTAATTACAGAGCAATTGCACCTTGATGAATTCAACGGTAATTTTGTTTCGAATGCCATAATGAATGTCGACAACATAATTAGACTGTGACTACTCATACCCATTGTGAGATTACTTAATTTTCGAACAAATGTTTCTCATGCTTATAACTAATTACAGAGCAATTGCATCTTGATGAATTCAACGAAAAATTTTTTTTTTCGTATGTACTAATTATTGGCGACGACCTAATTAGACCATGACTAGTGCTACGAACTGTGAGATCACTTAATTTTCGATCAAATTTTGCTTGGGCATCTAACTAATTACTAAAGCTATGTACCTTAATGAATCTAACACACACTTTTGTTCCACATGCCCTAAGTAATGTCGACACAATCAATTAGACCATGACTGATGCTAATCACACTGAGATCCCTTGTTTTTCGCACGACTTTTTTTAACGCTTTTAACTAATTGTGAAAGCATTGCACCTTAATGAATCCAACGGAGATATTATTCGCCATGGCCTCATTGACGTACATAACCTAATCCGACCGAGACGCTGGATACCCACT